GAATTGAAGAAATACAATTATTGAGAGATGACTAAGGCACTCAGGCTCGATATTGCGATGATTTGACTCATTGGAGTGGAAACGTAAAACCCCACTGTCACTGGACGTGCAGTATCTCGGATGGTCATTGCTCGAACTCTGATCTGTTATTATGGAGAAGCTAGAGTAAAAGAGTATAAAAAGTTATGTAAAAAGAGTAGTTCTGCTTTCGATGGAAAAAAATAGGATGAAAAACTAAACGTCGCTTTCTACTTTCCCCGAAGATTTTAAAAAGAGGAGAGAATCAAATCGTGCACTTTTCCGTTTGAAACGCCGGCCACGCCGCTAGCATGATGAAAATAGTATTGTGCCCGGCGATCAATTATCGATATCTCTTCATTTGAAACAGTGGAAAAGGATCGATTATTATGGTGGTCCTGCGTCATCGATACTTTACCACAAGTTCAAATGGCAGAGAATCGATACATCACAAAGAACGTCACGCCGCGCCACTGCGACCCGGCTTATGACAATATCTGCTCCATCACGACCCTATCTGACGGATTTAGCAGCGAGGAAATTTTACTGACCGAAGGGAATTAGGGTTTCAAAAAAAGGAAATTCGAATCAGTCTCGATGGCAGAGGAAACCCCATAATTTGTAGGAGATGAGAAAATTATCTTCGAGTTGATTTAGAGTGATTAAGTAAAACTCTAAACGCCTATTCAACAAAGACTAACGTGTCAATTTCAATTTTAGAAAAATTGAAACGTCAATTATTTCAATAAGTGGAAACAATGAAGTAGAGAAAAGAATGGGATAAATTTCATTTAATGAAGCAAAGTGAAATTTGTTAGTACTATTTGGTCTCAAACGCTGTTGGGTTATTTCGTATCAAGTTGCGCTAATTATCATCAGTGTTACCTACCAAAGAGAAACAACTAAAATTCGCTACCTTAACCCGACGGTTTGCATTAATTTTAAAATAACAGGGCTAGTAAGAGCCTAAAAGAATTTCTACAGAACATAAATTTTGTCTCTTCATTCCTTCATTCTGTAGTGCCTTACCAATAATACTTATCATCAAATATGACGCTAAGTATCAATATTTTACGCGCAATGAGTAGAGTGTTTTTTTGAATAATACTTGTATTTTTGCAAGTTCCGTAAGTACTCATTACGAATTAATTACGTATAAACCATGACGACAAATTTGTCGCCCTAAGGAAGAACGCCATATGAGCCTTCAAAAGCTGCCAAATTTCTTTTGAAAAAACACACATTTTCAGTAAAATTCGAAAGTCATTATCCTTAAATTTTTCAGAGAATTTTGTCCGTAATTTAACCTAGAGTGCGTGAAAATTTGAAGGAAAAGTATTCACAACTCTCTTGAAAAATATATAATTTATGGGAGGAAATTTGGCAACAGTCGAATGCTCATAAGGCGTTTTTCCTTAGCACGGTATTAATAAGGGTCTTATATGGATAAGTACAGGCTTTACGTGATTGTATTCCAGCACGCCTGTGACTCACTTGTCGCGGATGCTATACTAATGAGATCCACGAAGTTTTGATGGGATTTTAAGATGGATGTCTCTCACGAATATTTCAGACTGACTTGGGTCGAATGTGGGTCGGCCCGGGCCGATCGCTCATACATCATTGTCCGTGGTCCAAATAGGACCTTGAAGCAGGATAACCTGAGATGCCCTTTGCTGCCAGACAAAGGCGAAATTTCGCGGTCACTTCGTGTGAATATTTCCACTTACTTTCCGTCCGAGTAAAACTCGGAGCTCATTAATACAGTTTGCGATTAGTATGATTTCGAATCGCACTGTCCTCTCATTGTTGCTGGAGCTTCGTAATATGCAAGGTCGAGAGCCGAACATATATTTTGAGGGATAAGGCCGATGTGGTGTAAAATTTCAGGGATTTATTTGGGAATTGCTGGTATTGAAACCAAAACACGGGCGTAATACGTTGGAAGGTCTTTAAAGTGGATTCAGAGCCGAAAAAATCATACCTACCTACGTAAAATTTGAATGTTTTTATTGATTTATTTGTTTTTAAAAGGGAGGCAGATAAGTGCATCAGATGCACATAAATAGTTTTTTGGTTTGATTTTTGAACCTCAACAATCAAGCGGCACCTTATGGATATACCTCTGACTGGTTTTTGATATTAAACCAAGCATTACACAATTTCCCCACAATAAGACTTAGGCGACCGTTGGTTTATTTTAGGTACATTTAAGTGGAAAAGTCGCATTTGTCTGAAATTTCACATCTGAATGTATTACTTTGAAAGGAAATATTAAATCTGTACTCGAGCGCGAACTTATCAAATTGATATTTTTGATGAGAAGGAATGGCAGCCGTCACTTTCTGTGCGACTGAAGAGATAGCCTTTATAAACGAAATATAACATAAATTCTCCAAGTTATAAAACAAACAGATTTTAATTTTTCCCCCTCAAAAAAGTCGGAAATTAAAATTAATTTTCCGATAGTAGCGCACGCTACATTAATAAGACCAGTACACCTACAGCAATGTAGATGTGATATTGACACGGTTGATTTGGAAATTCGCCCGAAATAAAAATTAACCCAAAAAAAGTCGCAAAGTTAAACAATTAAGTCGAAAACGGAAATTTTTGGCAATTAAAATAGCAGCGTTCGGCGCAAACAAACTCTCTCGTGAATCTTTATTTTATTTTATCCGTTTTTAAGCATGGATATTAAGAATAAGACTTCTCATTACATTCAAGGTTATCTAAAATCTGATTAGCGAATTCATTAACCAAGAATTTGTGCAAATAATCCTAGTTAAGGACACAGTCTTCGAGCCGAATTACAAGGTCAACAAAACGTGGGTGTTATTCCGCATTCTTGTGCGCTAAAATTTATCGCCTCAGAAATCAGACCAGTTTTTATGTTTTCATTGTTTCAATTTAGAAAAAAATGCATTAATTAGGTATTACTTTGCAATACTTTCAAATATGTAATTGGTGTGTCAGGTAAAAGTTCCGGTGCATAAGGTGGCCCCACGCCTGAAGTTCTCGATATCACTCCCACCTGGCTAGATGTTGAGAATTTCCAGATTTAAAGACCTACTCATTGTTAGTTAAAAATCTCTGAATCTCATGATTTTAGGTGGGGAGTGACGTAATAAAATGATCGAGTACCTAACTTTTAAAATTTATGTACATTAAAATCGCAAGGAGGGACAGACCTCTAACAATTTTTCTATTTTTTCACTAAAAAAATGTCCCAAAGAAAAATTTTGCGGTACAATCAAAATACTGCATCTGTCGGTTCTTTTGGTTCAAGTGGATGACTTGATGCATTTAATCCTAGGGCACATGGGTTAAAATCATAATTTGAAATACTTCAGACCCACAAAACAAAAATTGTCTAGATTTCTCAAAAGTTACCATCGATGAAGAAGGTGCCAAAATATATGTTTCATGAGAACGTATCTGCTACCTAGATAAAACTTTAAACTGGCGCACATAATATACGTAATTACAATGTACTTGAACAACCTGTCAACACCTCAGCATATTTTTTCCCTAACATTTTTCGATTTCCATTTTTAACTCTAGTTTCAGTCAATCCAGTCCTTATTTTTAACTTTTTCACTTTATCCCTGTACAATCTTTAATAATGTCCCATAAAATTAATTACTAGACTTGCAACTGATACCTACATAGATTATAGCCAACCAATCACGCGTAGCCTTGTTGTCTCACCGCCCGTAACGTCAGCAAGACTATACAAGCGTGGGTTGCCTAAAAATCTAGGTCTTTTACCATCCCCATGACCCACGAAACGTGTAACTCTCTCTCTGGTCTTTAACATCCCTACGACCCACGACCCGTGTCTCTTTCTCTCATCGGTTTTTAATCCATCAGTAGTGCAACTCTTCACTTCAACTTTAACGCTGTGTAACTTAGTGACATTTAATTTGTGAAATCTGTGATATGTGCCTTCATCACGTCAATACAAGCTATTTCGTCTGAAACTCTTGTTTTATCCTTTATCGAACAATCTTTAGTCAGTTTGTCAATCCTGACTCAAAAAGATTGACTGGTGCCGAAATTATTATCTCTACCGTCAACTTCATAACATGATTACCGAAACCAATCGTTAATCATAACACAACCTGAATTCATTTTCCACGAGACTGCGATTATTCGAATACGGAAGGACAGGAATAACTATTCAAATTTCTGATAATGAGGCAGCGGTGAAAAGGACAAATTAATTTTTCTGGAGAAAAAGCTGCGCTCAATTATTCTCGGAAAATTTAATAGTAGAGGATATCACAATAAGTAGCATTTAGATCCTAATTTTCGTCAATTTTGTTCTCTACTACTTTATTACATGCATATTGTCATAAACGGATCGAAATGGGAGGCGCAAGTAAGGTGAGAAAAGTAAAAATAGTCGGAGTCTCACTTTTACTTTTGTTGAGGTGAGATTATGACTTAGTTTACAGCCAAAATTCTATAGCCATTATTACACTCGCGCCAGGAATATAGACGGCAATTGAAAAATGTAGGTACCTGAGTACCGATTCAGCATCAATTTAAAATGCGATCTATCGAATGAAGTAAGATATTAATTAGTTGAAAACGAAGAATTGTAAATATTGCATCTCTATCATGGGTTACAGAACGAGACCAATTTTACGAAAACATTGTATGTATTCTGTACCTGTACTTGACCTTAGAATGGTGGGGATGGTAGGTTCATTACCCCCGCACCCTCCCCCTCCTTCCTGACTACCTGCAGGTAATATAATAAAATGTCTAAATCTGCATTCGCCTGAAATTCAAAAGCCGACTGAAAGGTAAAAATGATCGAAGTTTCCGCTCGGTGCTGTAGCCGACGCTATATATAATTCCGAGACCCAAGTACACTTACACTGATGAGGAGTATGTTTCAGTGAAAATTGTGAAGCCTGATGACCACTAGTGATCTTGAGGAGCACATGTTAAAATGTTATGATTGAGCTTACCTATGCCCATTGCATTTTCAGACGTCAGGTTGGATATTTTCGTAACCATTCAAAAACTGTCCAAAGTAGGGTGAGAGGGTCGACCGTATGAGTTTCACAAATTCAACTAACTTGCTCCCGAATTCATTCTATGATGAGAATCAGATTTTGAACGAAAACTACACGAGACACCAAACAATTGTTGATCCGAAACACACCGTTTGAGTAGAACGACGTGGGTACAAGTATCTTTCTGACACTGAATTAAATTAATATGCGGTTAAAGAACTAGATACGGGCACCGGGCCTGAATTATTATCACACCACAAATTAATACAATTTCCGCAACAATTAACAAGGTATCAATTTCACCGAGTGAGCGGATAAAGCACCAAACCGTTTGTAAACAAGAATTTGAACGTTAAGAACACAGTTTCCAGTGGATGATGTAATCAGTGTACTTCCAAATTCAGCGAACAGAGAAGTGAATTTCACGATTCGAAGAGTTAAAAACACTATGTAGATTGAAAGGAACACAATAAGCAAGTTTTAAGTACAAAGTAAGGACACGATCAGAACGTGATTAAAGTTAAGGCGGCCCTTGAAGGCTACAGAAACACCGGGTTTTCGAGGAGGGAAGCACAATGTTAACCACTCTGGGCGGCACACTTCAAAACAACGATGCAACGATAGTTTAGTAATTGGTAGACACGGCGGGGTTTTAACCACGCGTTGAGAAAAACGACGGAGTGGAATCCTCGCGGAGAATCGAGCGCCCGTGCCAAACAAAACTGACAAAAACAACCTCGCGAAAAGCAAATCAGCGGGGCAACGTTTGAGGTTAGACCGATGCCATCTAACGGCCGAGGGCGGAAGCTCGGGACCTGCTCGGCTTCGGCTTCGAGCGCGTACTGAGGCGCCCGCGCCGGCCGCGCCGCGACAGCCACCCCACCCCTCCCGCCCACCCTCGCCCGCCGCCCGCCGCCCGCGAATCCCGCGACCAATGTCACTTGCTCCTGCCCGGTAGGCGGGATCGCCGACAGGAGCTTCGCGATTTTGTCCACCTCCCGATAGCCGTTTTTTAGCCGCCCGCGATCCGGCGCGAACCTGGCTCGGACGAGAGACGATATAATTGGAGGGCTGGGGCTTGGGGGACAAGGCTCGTAAGTGCAGTTTTTGCAATTTCGAGAACTACATGTTGAAAGTTTCGAAATCGCATGAACCTCTCTGGCAGAAGACAGTTCCAACTGACTTTTTGATGCTTAAAAATTTGATTTCGGGAGCGAACTTTTCACAGACCATGCATAAAGACCAGTTTCACTTGAAATCATGAATTTCTCAAATTTTTCAAAAACTGCACTTATTCGCCTTCTTTTCCAAGCCCCCCCCCCCCCCCCCCCCCCCCCCCCCCCCCCCCCCCCCCCCCCCCCCCCCCCCCCCCCCCCCCCCCCCCCCCCCCCCCCCCCCCCCCCCCCCCCCCCNAAAACCCTTATTTGTTTGTTTTTTTGGTGGGGGGGGGGGGGGTTGAGCCCCTAGCCCCCCAAGCTACATGCCTCTATACAACTGACACCGTAAAATCTCTTCGTCGATACCCTGCCCACTCTGATTGCCTGCATGCCTGACGTTTTCATGGGACCTTCTCATTGCCTCCTTCCAAAAGGTACGCGATGTTTCCATAGGATTTCTATCGCAATTTTGCATAAAAGACAGTAGAGACGTATTCGGGCCTCTTTTTTAACTTTTCTCCCCAATCTGAGCGATACCTCATTGTCAGCATATAGCAGAGCATTGAGAGCTCACGCTTCACGTCATCGCGCCTTCAATTTTTCAGATGCAGCACGGACTTCCATCAAGTATGAATAGTTGTATCTCTGCGCCATCGTAAACGCGCTTCCTTTCCCTCGCTTTACTTCCATATTGTGTTTGTTTCCGTTAGTCTTATTCGTAATGGTGTTTCAAGCACTACGTGAGTAGCACAGCCAAAGGTAGGAGAGATGTGTTCGGGCCTCTTTTTTTAACTTTTCTCCCCAATCTGAGCGACACCTCATTGTCAGCATATAGCAGAGCTCACGCTTCGCGTGAGTGTGCTTTCAATTTTTCAGATGCAGCACGGACGTCCATCAAGTACGAATAGTTGTATCTCTGCGCCGTCGTTAACGCTCATCCTTTCCCTCGCTTCTTGTTTGTATGCGTTTGTCTTATTCGTAATGGTGCTTCAAACTAGTAGCATAGAGCAGAGCATTCCGAGTTCAGGACTCACGCCATCGCGTCTTACATATTTCATATGGAATGTGGACATCCATCTTGTAGTAAAAGTAAAAGTCAAGTAAAAGTTTTCACCTGTCGCCAAAAGACCAATAGAGGGTCTCTTTTTGTCTCTAGCCTGACCTAATGCATATGAAATAGCGATTGTTTTTTGGAATTCGGAATCGAGGAGTCGGTCACAATATTGACTCGGAAGCGCCGCGGACAAAGGCCGTACCGAATTTTTACTGCGTCACAGCGGCTATCCCGTCATGCCGATGCGACCCCGTTGGCGCGTCCCATTTCTAACGCTTGCCGCCCGCGCAGACAATAGCGCCCTCACTCCGTGTATTTGTCTATCACCGACGGCGGAGGGCTCTGTCGGCGCTAAGTGACCATCCGTATGATAATTCTGGAGAAAAAGGCTCCCTTGCGCTCTCGCTTGGTTTTTACACCTCCGATGCCCGGAGGTGAATAGAATGTTTTCGTTGTTTGACAGTTGGTGATGACTCTTTCCTCTAAAAAAAGGAAAGGTTTCCATCGTTGCCACCTGAGTGAAAATTGGCCTGGAAATAAAAACATAGTTGTGAAAAGTATTGTGCACCAAGGAAATCGCTAAAGGTACAATCGAATTGAATGGTTTCAAATTTCTTATGTCAAAATTTTCATTTTTGAGTAAAATGATGCACTGAAAAAAAACTACGGCTGTGAAAGCCGTACTTACGGGCTCTGTAGACATACCGTCTGCGTTCCGGGTTCAGAGGACAGAAGCTCCGGACATAGCACATGGAGCAATCGAAACTACGGCTCCAGGACCCGGAACTTTCGGCCTCTGAAGCCGGAACGGTCGGTATATCTATACAGCCCGTAACTTTTTTTCAGGGTGAATATTGTTTTGCATCATAATCTGTTGAAAAGGTGAATTATGAAAATCTCCCCCTAAAATTTTTATAGAAATTCAGTGCGCCTGACTGGCTCAAAAGAGAGGTCTAAACTTAATTTGGTGACCGCCCCCTTTGGGGTGCATAGCGTATTTCCTGCCGAGTTGCAGGGACTCCCCATCTAGGTGGGGGGTTTGTAGCCTCCTTTGGTAATAATTCAACAAAATTTGACGATAAAGCGCGAAGAGTTTCACTATTAAAATGAGTTTACTTAAATTGTTTTAAAATCAAGAGCCTTTGAGTTTTGATCCACCATAAATAGCGAGCAAAATCAAAAGTCATTTAATTTGGTTCTATCCGTTCGCGATTTATGTCGATCAAACGGTCGATCAAGAGACTTATTTTTCCAGTGTTTACTGAAAAAAAAGTTACGGGCTATACAGAGATACCGTCCTTTCCGGGTTCATAGGCCGAAAGTTCCAGGTGCTGGAGCCGTAGCGTCGATTGCTCCGGGTACTATAACGCCCGGAATTTTTGGCCTCTGAGTCCGACACGCGGACGGTATGTCTATATAGCCCGTAAGTACGGCTTCCACGGTTGGAATTTTTTTTTCAGTGTTGTTACGTCTTTTTTGAACGACTTCTCAACTCCACGTGGTCTGATCGGCCCGGCGCAGCGAAAGAGCAGACTCCTTGGCCATCAATATTCGATAGGCTATTTTTAGTCGATCACCTCTCTTCCTTCCGGCGGCTTCTCGAAATCCCTCAAAAGGCCAATCACTACACGGCACCGTTGCAATGCACCGGATTGAGGCGACTCTTTTACAACTTCATACGCGAGACCACGTCGGGCATGGAACCCGCGCCGCGTTTGATGTTCCGCCGCTTTTATTGCATCCCCTCGAGGTCTCGCACTCGGACCCTGTCGACGGTGACAATCCCAATTCTACGTGGAAGGGTAAAAAAAGGCTCCGTCCGGATTTTTTTCGGTGCGTGGGTGTTCCGCATGCACCCGGAGCCTTTGAATTGGGGGCCATAGCTTCAACGTGAAAAAGTTACCGCACCGCCACTTCAATTTGCTTGATGAGAGATACTGTCGTGCTGCCGTGCTAAGGAAGAACGCCGTATGAACATTCGAGAGTTTCCAAATCGCCTCGGATTAAAAATATATTTTTGAAGAAAATTATGCGTATTTGTCTTTGAAATTTTTAGAAATTTTAGATAAAATTGCGAATGATACTGTCTGAAAAAATGGAGGAAAAATATTCACACATTTTCTTGTAAATCGGGTTTTTATTGAAGGAAATATGGCAGCGTCTGAAGTCTCATACTGCGTTCTTCCTTAGCGCGGCAGCGTGCTAGGGAAAAACATCGTATGGACATCAATGCGTTGCCGAATTTTCTCAGTTGGAGCAATCATTTTTTGAAAAATTAAAGTTTATCAGATTGGAACTAACTCTGCAGACTTTCGGTGGTGAATTTCTGTCAGACTTTTGGTGATGAATTTCTGCCAGACTTTAGGTGATAAACTGTCAGAAATTCGAGGAAAAACGTACATAACCATTGAAAAAATTAGGTTTTCATCACTAGAAATTTGGTAAATTCTAAATGTTGATACGGCATTTATCCATAAAACGGTAGTATATGCCGTCACTCTCTTGACAAAAGGGCGTATCTTGATTTCAGCATGAGCCCCAGATAGCATGCATCCACATGAAAAACAGGGTTCACGTGGAAATTTGGATACGCCCTTTACGCCAGAAGAACGAGACTGTAGGGGATGCATTGAAATGGTCTTACGGTTGAGGAAATTATTGAAGCCTTTTAAATTTTTTCAGTAAAAGGAGACAATCCAATCGTAAATTGAAGAATCTACAGTATCGTAATGAAGGTAGGGACAGTTCACCACTAATTTTATTGGTGGAGAAGGAGAAAGAAGGGGCTACTTTCAGACTAACCAACATCATCATACCACTGCCACTGGGTCATATCGTACCACGGAGCAAGGAAATATCCAACTCACATTTTTGAAAAATGGAGACATCCACAAGTTCCACAACAGCAATTTAGCTTTGTAGAGATCTCCAAGAACTGTTTCGTAAGTTAAAAAAATTAGGTAGCTCTGCTTTATGAAGAGATACCCCAGAGATATTGAACCCCAAAAATTGCAATTTACATTGGAATCAATTTGTCCGACGCACGATTCTTCACTGATATACCTTAACGACGGAGGGCAGGGGAGAGAGGGGGGAAGAGAGGGAGAGAGGGGGACAAATAATGAGAAACTCTGGGTGAAAACCATGGGGCAAACGCTTGATTCCAGATAAAGTTTATCACACGGCGGGGCTACTCACAGGATAGGGTAGCCCAGAGCTCAGATCAATCCGTGATTCTGGTCTAAATCCCAACTCGAGAAGAATGCTGCGTCTTGGACCAAATGACTAGCCGGAGATTTGAAGAACAGGACAGTAAGAGGGCTAGACGCCTAGATTCACCAAGTGACGAGCCACCATAAAATCTGGGCATTAATGAACCAAGACAATCATACCTAAAATCCACAAACGTTTCCACGATGCCTGATCTACGAAAAAAAGGTACATACCTCTCTAACTTTCTATCTCATCCTTTAATTACCGTATCATTGTTGCATTGCAAAAATCACAGAGGAGGTGAAATGGTCGTATTAATTAAGTACTGTTAAAAGTGTTGCACATGCAATCATTGGTGAAAGCCGTGTCAGAAATCGCCTTTTGTGTGGTTGACGCACGT